GATACAGAAATGAATATGCCAAGGCAGTCAGTTGTTGAAAAGATGGCAGACTTTGCCTTTCCACTCCTATCTTTTATCTATTATGAAGAGAACAAATCATCAACATCATTGCATGTCTGAGGAATAACTAAACATCATCATCAACCATCTAAATGAAAGAACGCAATGCAATTTTAAAGGAATCAATGTGACAAGGGGAAGCAACATGAATTGTAAATAAGGCCTGTAGAAGATAAGATATCATACATCAAAAGTAATCATCTTCATATCATCCTGCATTATGCATGGGGTCGTCCATTTCAATTTCATGTGGCCTGTACAATTTATCGATCTTCGTGTGTTTTGCCTTAAGATCTGCAAGAATGTGATGATATTGATATTATTATTCTCAGGCCCATCAAAAATACAATGGGGCTCCAAGGAAAACCCATAAATTAAAAGACCTATGAAAAAGAGCAAGCAACATGGATGAATAAACTAAAGTACTGGCATAACATTCTTAAAGATGTTCTGTACATAATTAATGTCCTCAATGATCTATCCAAAAATTCCAAGACAAAATGTCATGTTTGGAATTACCACTGAAGGTTATTAGAATCAACAAATTAGATCAATTCAGACTTTTTTTTTAAATTACCATAAAGATTGTATGAAATACTTTAATTAAGACAGAAACTGTTGGAGGGTCGCTTGGCTTCCTGAATTCCCCCATGTCCGTATAACAAGAAAAACGTAGAATTCCTGGACATGTGCATCAGATACTGGTCATGAAATGCTTCCATGGGGCCACATGGATTTTGTCATCTGAGGATCATAACGGATTCATGGGGAGCGAGGGCTTGATTAGAAGCCACCTGTTATGGCGGGTTGTGATCTCCTAACCCCATCAACTCAGCAATCCAGACTAGGCGTGATGAGGTCAGCTGCAGAAAAGGCCCTGTTGGCAGATCATTTTCTTAAAACCCCTTTCCACTAGCTGGGTTACTGCTGATGAGTGACCAACGATTTGACAGAATTGCGTAGATGAGAAATTGGCTTTCTTTGCTATATCATGTGTTCTTTTGTCTTCAAACCATACTTTTATATCTTGTTTCATATTTCAGCTGCAGAAAAGGCCCTGTTGGCAGATCATTTTCTTAAAACCCCTTTCCACTAGCTGGGTTACTGCTGATGAGTGACCAACGATTTGACAGAATTGCGTAGATGAGAAATTGGCTTTCTCTAAGTCTAACATTTCATGTGTTTTTTTTTTTGTCACACAAACCACACTGGGTTGTATTAAAATTCCGAAATCGAGGGTCACATAAATCTGATTTTGGTTGCTCTCTGGTGGAAAGGAGGGTTTACGTGTACAGTACTGTAACCCATTCTTCACAGGCCGTTTCCATACATCATGAGAAATGAAACATGATCTTCTACCTGTTCCTGACAGCTGAAGCGTGGATTATGAAGCATCACGACCATGCTGCATCAGCATGGCAAAAATTCACATCAGCGCATACAAAAAAAGGCCATTGTACTTTCAGAATTGACGAAATAAATCATCCTTTACATCCGCTACAATATCGTGAGCTCGCATTATCGCAGACACAAACGTTACCAATATCTTTCCTTTCTTGGGATGTCATCCACATTTCACAAAGGGAAGCCAATGTGTATACATCATTTCTTGTTACCTTCATGTCTTATCTGGAGCGGAAAGGTTAGGAGCTTTCACCCTTCATATTTCTCCTTCACACATAACCTGATATCCCCACACTGGCTGGCTTTATGAGCCCTGGTTATTCAGGTACAGCACAGAGGCAGGGATGGAAATGAAACCTATTGATCCAGCGGCCAGGACATGGTTTTTTTTTCTCCATAGAAGTAAAGTTGGAGGAGATACAAATGTAGCTCTAGTCTTAATCATGGCATTACGGTTAATTCCATGTAGGAGTACTGTTTTGGGTGGCCAAGCTGTGGATTTGTATATGTAGAAGTTGGACTATTAATGGTCCTACAAGAGCAAGGAATGCCTATTACTGTATATCTGTTTGTGCAGACAGAGTAGGTTGATAGCATGTGGGTGGAGGGAGATTGACAGGAAGAATGACAGGTTATAAGGTCATCCTCAGTAGAAGGGGTGAACGTAATTGAGGTGTCTGAATCAAATTTTTTAATTACACTTTTACCTTTTGCATCATAGTCCAATTATAAAATTAAGGGTCATACAAATCCAATTTTGATAACTGCATGGTTGCTCAAACACATCTATTGGAAAGGCGGAGCCTAATAATACATTTTGTAGTTGTTTCAGCTGCAAAATTAAAACTCCATAAATGCCTACTTTCCCCTCCTACCATGAAATTGTACGTTCTTGAGAAGTCGGCAGAATTTCCAGAGACTTGGTCAAGTCGCTTGAGCTTTTCATCACTCACGCTGCCTTCTGCATTATGCATGTCTGTGTAAACTTGCAGATAACAGAGAATCCCAGATCTTTTACATTCTGAAGTTCGGTACTCTGATGTTGATCTTCAAGCAAGCTTGGTAAAAATCCAAAAGCCGGGAGGATCAGTAAGTTGTTAATCCAAAATGAAAACAATAGTGGGTGTCACTCGAAGACCTGAATTAACTACATTAGCTTTCATACAATTCAGACTATTCATGATGTACAAAAATAACCCAATAAACTCAGGTGGAAATACAACTACTAAGTTCATGCTACCAGCTCAGAAAAGACGAAGAAATAGTCATGCCTTCACCGGTGTTATCAACAAAGGATTGAGGTATTCAAAACATTTTTTCCTAAAACTACCGTATCCGTATTCATAGGGTGGGACTTCCTGGCACTAAGTATACTGGGCATCCTAGATAGCTTTAAACTCACAAATTCTTACAGTTAGATGTGCAAAGTTGTTCAGTGTAAATGTAATATACCCAGCTGCCGCTGCGCTGTGTGCCCATGAAGCTGCTGTGTTATGCCAAAGGGTGGTAATACCGGCTATACAGATACAGGGATACAAATTGATCCAACGTGTCTTGGGCTCTGCTTCTCAAAGTCGTGGTGAAAGAAAGCTTTAGATCTCAATTGCCAAAAGTATGTTCTTTGAAGTGACCTGAAATGATCGTAGAGGATGGTACAACATCTAAGCATGAAGGATGATAGCAAAATGAAACTTTTCTGAATAGGACTTGAAAACTTTTCCTGCAGGTATTTTCTGTATGAGAAATAGGGGGATTATTGATCCACATCTCTGACTCCAAATTCAGCCGGATCTGTGGAACCAATCTGACTCCCCCTGACCCTGTGTGAAAGGGTCTAACCACTAAAATTAGTTCGTCAATACGTAATAGCTCGGAGATTTTCCCCCGCCACGAATGGGAACGATTATCTGACATCACCACATGGTAAGAGCGCCGCAATCCGATTGAAATCTGCCTGGAGATATGGTTTGATTGAAGCCTGAGCCCTGGCACACACAACACACGCCCGGTGATCCCGGGTTTATGGATCTCCTGTATAACACCTACACCTGGGTCTTAAATGGGCATAAGAAACGGGGCCCTTAGGACGTGCCATAGGCCCTGAGTTATGGCACTTGGCAATTCATAACACCTTTTCTGATACAACTCCTAGATACCCATCTGAAGATTGGGCCTGAGGCCTGGTTTAAGAAGGGTCACACATTATGATAAAGTCATCAGAACAGGTAAGGCTGGTAAGACCCCCTCCCCCTAGAGACTGCCACTGCTGAGCGAGCAAACATTCAACCAATCGCTTCACAAATTCATAGATAAAGAACCAAGTTCTTTGTGTGTTTTATTGTCTTTTACATTCTGCATCGTGTATTCCAATTATGATTTCATGGGTCACAAAAATCAAATTTTGGTCACTGTGTTTGTTTGTTTTACATAACCAGTAAACTGGCTTTTTTTAGGGGTAACACACCAGTTTTCGTAATCGAAGCTAGGTGTTCATTTCTACCTGAATGAAGTGAGGAAGTTGTGTAAAGTGCCTTTTCCCAGGGCACAAGATCGGTGACATGAGTAGGATTCAAACCCAGGACCTCTTGGTCCTGAGCTGGACATGCTACCGTTTATGCCACACGACCTCACTCTGGTGTGGTTTCTCAGCGATCGTCAACTAGCCTTAAACCTGTCAGGATGAACCAATACGTCAGGATAACCGATTGGCAGGCTGACCAATACTGGTTATTAATGACTTCCAATACCGTGACCTTTCTTTCAGCTGTTGATTAGTGGTTTTCACCTGGAGTCAGGGGTTACCACAGTTGGGGAGAGGTCATGTCAGGTTAAATATATCTTGAGGGGTGTTGCTATAATGATGGCCAACCTGTGAAAGTTTTCAGCCTGTGGTAGTACATGGAACTTTCTCTGGAACTATTCAGACTTGTAGGAACAAGAAATCAATGATTTCAGACTTCCAGGAAGCATTCTAAGTTTTTTATGAATTAATAGAAACAACCAAGGAAATTGTATGACATACTTTGATTGTACTGTTCAAGGTTGGAGAGTTATTTTTGTACTCATGCAATCCTCTGCTTCCTAAATTTTGCTGTCAATGTCTAACTCTAAGTCTGGAATATGAACAGAATTAGCAAGAAATTCACAATAATGAATAAAACAAGACATTCTCACAACAATTCAAAATTGTTTTCTGCAGTTTGAAAGCTTTGATTTCTTTTTGTCGCTGTTTGATGATGTTCATAACAGGGCCATTAAATATTGTCTATACTAAGTGAACAACAGGACACTCAGGTAATATAGAGTATGCAAAGATCCACTTCAGTTTGATCCAACAGCCTTGCCTTAAGACACTTACCTATGACGCTGGAAATATGCATTTCCATAGCATTACTACAGTAATACAGAATCATTTCAACAACAATCTTAAAACACCACAAAGAACTCATTTCCCCTCCTATTACGAGCCCCTACAAAAATGACTGAATTTACAGTATCATCTATGACAAACACATGGCGTATAAACATGCACGTACCTGTCACGGCCACCTGCAGATGCTCCAGCTGTCTACGTCTGTCTGCAGCTGCGAATCAGCTCTGATCTACACCTGCACAGACACGGAAAGGTAAATGGAAAGATTAGACCTTCTGAATGATCAAACAGACATCTAATGATGAAGTACTAACTACATGCTTGAATACTTTCTATTTTGTCTTTTAGATCACCACCGGATAAAAACATCTGAGAAAATCAATACATTAGCCAAGTAGACCGTATCATTTTACATTTACATTAAACTATTAACTACTGTCCTTATTCTATCAGTTAAAAATCAGTATGTGGTACTTCTGACCGCCTTCAGTATCAGCATAATTTCTACAATTTTGTGTGGATTAACAGATTTGCTGAATGCTAAAAATACCAACACATACGTATCACCGACTAATGCTGATGTATTGCTGCTCCTGTTGACTAGAAAAGTGCGCAAACGAACAAACGAAGCTCGACTTATACGCCGCACATTAAATGTTATCCAATCGATACATATTTCCTGCCTGACTGACAACGCAGCACGCAGCCATTGTGACTGGCTGAAAATAAATGAATTCATCAGTCTGCTCGGAATAAATCTTTGGGCTGGGCGACTGGACGTCCTGTATTAATTACCACCATATATCACACCTCAGTGCTCCTGCCCTTTGCAGTCAAAAAAGTTGGCTAATATCTATACCGGCTGTTGATCAATGCGTTTGTCTTGCACGGTCGCTGGTAATGTATTGATTACCTCCATACATCAACCAGCACGCTGGTCTTCCTTTCTTAGAAAACTTTAAGAACTCCCATCCGTCAATGTCTGAAGATTTGAAGCTCCTTTTGAATGGAGAAGTTCAGCACATGTTTTCTAGCAAGCACAGTTCATTATGAAGGTAATTTTGTCCATCACACAAGCCAACAATCTTCATTACACATGTGGACTAGGAAGCTGGCACTTTGTAAGCATGCTAAGGTGGTTCTCAGATTTGCCCACGTCATTTTTTTTATTAGAAAAAAAAAAGAAAAAGACATTGTACGTGTACCATTCAGTTCTGAATCGATCCCAAAATGTTTTTTTTTCGCCTGACTGTTTCATTGATTTCCTACAAAAACAGGAGAACCAGCAAATCAAATAAGTGTGGCATAATTAGCATTAATACCATCAACAGAATGTGCCCTTCTTATTGCTCGTTACTTGTTCCAAAACAGAACTTTGATGAGTTGCAAGAGAATGATAGATGATAACACTTCAGGGTGGCCGTACGTACCTGTTATAACTACATAAAGGCTTCTCCAAGAAGCACACACTGCAATAAACTTGCTTTACAAGAGTGGACGGGTGCACGGAATGAGCCACTGAATATGCACAACACTTTTCTGGCTTGCCTTCAAACAACCATTCCTTCAGAAAACTTTTAACTGCTACTGGCAGCAGTCAGCTAAAAGTGAAGTAATAGACAGAACCTAATATAAAATCCCTTTGTTACTCTTTCCCATATCGATGTTGGCAGATTGCCTAACAAAGTTAACACGAAAGGTCCTGTTTGATGTTAGCAAGGTCGCATTAGGCTCAGAATGAACATTTCCAAAATGCTTGGTGAAATCCCTGAAGACCAACAGCCTGGGGCCTGCAACCTTCCCTTATAACCAACTTTAATGAACACAGAGCTGCGCCCCTGTAAAGGCAGAACATATTGATTGGGCCGAAATAAAGAATTCAATGAAAGCAATTGGGGCTTATAGGCTATTAGTCAAAATAGCAATGCGCCCATCACGAGCGGATATAAAAAGGTGAGTTGCTCCGAGGTTGTGGCCTTACCAGCCTGCCAGCTAATGAGTAGCCCTTTATGATGAAAATATCTTTAATCTCAACACTTTTACGACAGGAAGAGGTGGTTATAAAATGTGATGAAGTCCAAGTTTGGAGCCAAGAAGGTCAAGTTTGGCTGCTGTTTCATGGACATGCATCTTCCTTATTGCTTGGATGTGAATTGAGTTTATTTTTATAGACACATGCAGAAAGAAAAACCAGGTGGTATCAACAGATGAAGCCAAATGTTGTGAATTATCTATTTATAGAGAGGGCCAAGGTACATCATCCTATCATCCAATAGGGACTGGAACACTACAATCTGATTAAGTTCATTACTTTTTAAACACTGTGGCATTATTATGATATATTGGGTAATTGGAGCTTTGTTTATTGAATTCCCTTCCGGAAAAGTCAAAGGGACACCATAAATATATTCTAACCTGTCCAAAGATTACGATGATATTCACGCTGCTGCATATAATTTGTTATATGATAGTGGTTGATAGGAAAGTTTGACTGTACTTTGAAACTACTTGATATTCTACAAGCATATACAACATGTACATGTACTTGTCTCACTATAGGATTAGGAAGATACCTGGGCAAGATATAATCATACACGGCACATGTATATCCAACTGACAGGACCCTCGCTTGAGAAGGAAATAAGTGAGGGGCATTTTCATCCTTAATACCAAGTATCTGGGCTGTAAGACATCAGGTAATACATCAAAGTCATCCACGTCTTCCTGTACCACTCTCACTTTCAAGGCACCACTTTTACTTTCCTGGGACCCAATCAAGGCAGACGGGAGTGAGAGTGTTACTAAAACACTATAATCAATATGCCTACATACTTGGATCTACTCCAAAGGAAAAATGTCCTCGGCACATAATCTATAATACCAGTCAACTATCCGGAAAAGTTTGAAGGTATCTTGGCCGACCCTTTAGTCCAGAAAGTGAGGGTGAATGGCATTGAATACATTATGATATACCATAACGCATACACTAAAAGCAGCAGTCATGATCAGAAAGTGCACACATAGTATGCAGCGTTATTCTCAGATACTATAGAGAAAGATGAAAACATTGTATGGGCCTTGATATTTATCAGTACTGTCTTTGATTCTAGCCTGGGTGCCATCCTATTTGTATGCCGGGGCCCCCAAACTCACTCCCTAAGAAATATTTCTTGCGAGTATGGGAACCCCGGCATACAAATACTGAAATAGGATGTCAAACACATGCATATAGGTTCCCTTCATTATGAAGACATTTGAAGTTTGAAATAAACATTCGGTGAACAGTTTATTCAAATTTCAGAAGTCATCGTTGTTCAGGTACACTGTGGAAATTTGTTGTACCTTTCAACAGTCATCCCAGCCATCTTCCACAATGTGCATACAGGAACATTTTGTTCTTTCGTAAGACCAAAATGATGGCCGTAACACTGGTTTTACTGAAATATTATTTGGCTTAACTGTTCAACGCACCAAAACAAGACACATTGGTACCACAACACCCAAGAAGAAAAGCTGACAGCCTGTCATCTTTTTTGCCAAGTCAGCAGCAGAAAAACAATATATCAGCCAAAATGATATATCACAAACTTCAATTCCAAGTACACTTGATCCGAACTCATGACCCCTTACTGAGAGTTAGTGTCAGAAGTTGACACCCCAAGGACGAACTGCGTTTCCTTATCATTCTAACCAGTTGATCATGACAATGGCCCAGTCATCCAGGCTACAGGTGCAAACTGTAACTGATGAGCAGAAGGGACAGATGGAATGATCTTAGGCCATATTGATTTGATTATATGGGTACCATCAAAACACCCAAAACTGCATGCAAGAAAAATGTTTGTTCTTTTCATATCTTCTCTCTGACTTTGGATTGGTGGTGCAAGTAAGTGGTAATTTGAGCCCTGCTTCCTTTCTTCTAGCATCTTTTACTTTTCCCTTCGACCTCTGGCATTCTTCACGTACTTAAGGAAACAGTAAGGTCGCTAAATTCAAGTACTGGTTCCCTTCATTGGGCATCTTCTTCATAATTCTATTTTTCCTCTCTCTTCCAGATACAGCCACACTGAATACAGCCATAAGGCATAGGAGATAAGACAAGTGATCAGTGCACCTTCATCAACTTGAGTGTTATGCCCAGGTACAAATTGTTTGGCCTGGTCTGAGATTAGAGCAGGCAGTGTTATCTGGACAAAAGCAGCCCTAGGCTGGCTCCAACCTGTCTAACTGTGACCCCACTGGCGGTGACCCTGCATGTTCCATCCAATTTCACTCCTCAAGACAAGAAATCAGAGATTTCTGACTTCCTGGAAAAATCTTGGGTTTTCATGGGAATTTATTGGAATAACAGAGTAGATTGTCTGGCTGAAAATGCTTTTGTCTCAGCCGAGAGGTACTAGTAATACTAATAGCAACCTATTTGTGCAGATGCATGTAGTTGTGATACATTTGATGCCAACCACCAGAAATCGCTGTATTCGTTTGCGTCTCGCCTGATCCTCAAGCCTGTTTTGGCGACATTATTACCTTCGCCAAGAAGGTTATGTTTTCAGTAGCGTTTGTCCGTCTGTCTGTCTGTCTGTCTGTGAACAGCATAACTCAAGAAGCTTAGTATGCATTGTCATGAAACTTGGTAGGTGGGTAGGTCTTGATAAGACCTAGAAATGATTAGATTTTGGGCCCCCTGGCGGCTTTTGTTGGTACTGCAGCAGAACTTCCGGTTTTGATATCTCGCAATCTGGACATGTCAGGGTCACGAATTTTGGTTGGTAGATAGCTCTTGGGGTAGGGAAGAAGGGACATAAGTTTGGCCTCCCTAGCGCCTTGTTCTGGAACTGCAGGAGCATTTGTTGAAAATTTTTCGAAGGATGATAACTCAAGAACCGGTGGACGGATTGTCATGATTTTTGGTATGTAGGTAGCTGAAGTGATGCTTGACACGATCAAATGATAATTATGCAAATCAGGAGCTAATTTGCATAATTAATGAGGAAATTCTATAAATCTGCTTCGTTCGATAATAGGACTATGAAACACGTGTGACATGTAATAGAGAACGAAAAAAACATCTGAGGATATAGATTATGTAAATGAAGACCTAATTTGCATAATTGATGGGAATATTTTATAATTTCATAGTTGTAACTTCTGGGAATTTCATACTTGCCACATTTGGAAGTTAAGTGAAGGCGAACATCAATAAACATAATTTATTCAAATCATGATCTCATTTGC